AAGTTGTCGATCACAGAAAATAAAATAAATCAGTCAGAAAAAAGGGGTGGGGGGGGGTCCCCGATTACTCCTTCCCCCCTCCCCTCTCGGCCCCCCAACTGTCCTGTAACTCGCAAGACACTTCAAAGACAGCTGGTGGGGGGGTGGGGTGGGGGGCGAGTTCAAAGGTCAAGCCGGTCCAGATCAGGTGGGCGGTTCGCCTTGGCGCTGCTGCTCCAGAGCCCAAAGCGACAGGCAGGCGAATCCGACCCGGGGTCCCGGAGCCGAAGCCCACCTGTCCCGTCCCGCCCTGCCCTGCCCTCCCCTCCCGCAGCGGGGGCGCCGGAAGGGGGGAGGGGGGGTGTAGACGGCCCCGCGAGCGGACAGGAAGCGCTCGGTCGGCTGGCCGGTGAGGCAGTTAGTCCGTGCGTGTGCGCTGTAATTCTCGGGGCTCCTCCGGTTAAGAAGCGGTTCCTCGGTCACCTGTCCCGCCCGGGGTCCCCGGGGTCACGGGAGGCGCTCTCTCCCCGGCGCTCGAGCGGAGGCGGCGGGACCCCCGCATTTCACGAGAGAGCGGCGCGGCTCCCTCGCCCCCAGAGTCGCTTCGCGGACAGTCCGTCCGTCCGTCCGGCAGCCCCGTCTCTTCTTCACCCCATACAGGTCGGGGGGGCGGTTCGGGGGAGTATCCCTCTTCTCTCAGTCCCCAACTCCCTCTGCCACCCCTCCCATACCGGGAGGATGCTCTCCCGCCGACGCCGTTGGCTCTGTAATCTCCTCCGCCGGACACACACCAAGCGCCTCCGGAGAAACTTGCGAGACGGTCCAAGAAAAGACTATTTGAAAAGTTCCTTCAATGAACCCCCTTCTTCACTGTCCAGCCTTCCTCCACCTCCTCCTCCCCCCCCCCCAATTTCCCTTTTTTTGGGGGGGTGGTGGCGGTGGACGGACTTCTTAATTTTTGCAGTCGTATTTAATTTACGTTGTCTGAATGCGGATCCTTTTTTTCTTTAAAAAAAAAATAACCGAGAACCCCCCCAAAACCAGAACGCCAGTCAACGAGAACACAGTTGAGAGAGAGAAGAGGTCTCTTCCCCGGGTACGGCTGATACTTTTTATTTTTCGACTCCCTCACTCCTCTCCACCAAACCCCCAAACCCGCACCCCCGAGCCGATCCCACAACAGCCCCGGGACTGGCGAGCGGACTCCGTCCTGTCAGTCGCGTCTCGGTGCCAACTCAGCGATTTAGTGAATTTTTAACCCCGGGCCGTGAAGGAAAGCCGCCTGCGCTCCGGTGCGCCCGTCTCCATGCTCCCGGGCGAGAGAGCGGCGCCGCGGTACTTCTCCCGCAGTCTGCGGATTCACGCTGCGCGGAGAAACCCGGGACCGGGGGGCACTGTCCAGCCCGCCTGCCCGCTGGCCGAGACGCCAGACCCGCCGGCTAACTGCGCTCAAAATGCATCGGTCGATCCAGAATTACAACACACGTCGAGGAGCCCTTCCGAGACGCACAGTCATATCGATTCTGGATGTGCTGGACGTGAATTCGGCCGTCTCTCCCCGCTTCTCAGAAATAAAAGCGTACAGATCACGGCACGGAATCGGGACGTGTCGACCGGGAAGCGTGGAGGCAAGGCAGGGATGTCGGAGAGCCCAGCGCTTACGGATTCAGCACAAGTGAAGTCCTGTCTTGATCGTGAGATGATTCGGGTGTCTTCCCCGACGCGAGTTTACAGCCTCTCCCGCAGCAACCTCGTCGTCCGCCTCGCAGTTCATATCCGCGTCCGGTCCGGTCAGGTTCTGCCGTACAATCCCCGGAACCGACGCAGGAAAGCGGATAAGTCCCTGCTGGCGGCAGCCGGGCTACTGCTCCCGCTGTCCACCTCCGCCATTCTGCACCGCCGCAAAATACTAAAATGCGTTTTTTTTATTGACTCGTCCCCCCTTCTCTTCAGCTAGTTACAGAGAGAGAGAGAGGGGTGGGAGGAGAGAGGGGGAGGTGGACGCTTGTATCTAAGAGCCTGTGTGTCAGTGAGGGTAACTGCGTGTGTGTGTGTGTGTTTTTTTGCCTGGTGCTGAATACCAACTCAATACCTCTCTGGAAAAAAAGACCGTGAAACTGGCCGAACCTTTCCCTGCCATTTTGGCTCTAAGGTACAACGGGTTCTAATGAGCCCTGTCATCCCTGGAGTCGGAGCCAAAATGGCGACTGCTTAGCACTTTGTGTCCCCCCCCCCCACCACTAGCCCAACACGCGCGCACACCTCCCCATGCAATCGAACAACTGTTTTAGAGAAGAGAGAGGGGAAAAAAAAAGACTCCTCGGCTCTGTGCTGCATTGTCGCTGCAGAAGAACCGCACACACGCACTCGCACAGCGCCGGGGTAACTGTCATGACTCGGCAGCGACGCTCGCCCCACGGCGCTGGAGTTATGTAACAGCCCGCACGCTCCGTGGGTCTGAGCTGCACGGTCCGCCACTGCAGTCAGCCCCGTGAGGGTGATGCCGTGGGTCCAGTTACAAGGCAGCGTGCCGGGCGGGTTCTGGAGCTCGTCTGTCCCGTCATGGTTAATAAGTTGGCTCCAGTCAAGGTAGTACAGCGCATGACTTCACAGAAGTACAAGTTCGGGGTTCGGGGGAGTATCCCTCTTCTCTCAGTCCCCAACTCCCTCCTGGGAGAGGCAGCGGTGTGAGTCTTCATACAAGTACACGGGCTGTTTGGATAAAAATGGGCCACTTGTTCTCAGTTGGGGTTCATGTAAATGAGAGAATCATGAAGCCCTGGTCGTGCATTGTGTTGTGTGTGCGCTCAGGGACAGCTCTGTGTCAGGGGGTGTGATGGGTTGTGCAGTGCAGTTACATTGCTGACACTTATATAACGCCCCCCCCACATACACACTAACACAAATCCTTCAGCATCTTCAGATTCTGGGGGACAGACTCCTCCTGCTTTCTTGCAAATATCCTCCTTGTTTCCTTGGGAAATCCCGTGGAGGAGATCCTGCAGGACAGCCTGACCGCAGGAAACCCGACTTCTTTTCAAACGTCAACAGCTTACGTCAGAGAAGTTTACGTCATCAGTTTACAAACGAGAAGGGGACCTTCAGCCCATCCCATGTAAAAACAGCCAGGCGGACTTCTTCAGCACACAAGTGGGAACCTTGTGGAAGGGCATTTTAACCTGAGAACAGGAAGCACTTCCGTGCACAAAGGGTTGTAGGGGCATGGAGCAAGTTAACCAGCCATGTTGCTGTAGTTGATACCCTGGATTTTTTCAGGACCCAGCTGGATGAGATCCTGGGATCAATTAACAACTAAACTAGCAATCAGGCCGGATGGCTCCCCTCGTTTGTAACTGTTCTTATCATCTGAGATCGGATGAATTCCGCTAAGGCTCCATGACGGATGCAGGTGATTTCAGGACCCCTGCGGTCCTCCTCCCCCCGGTCCCCAGAATGTTTCATCCGGGCAGATCGCCACTGGCTGAGACGGCGGAAGAAGGCGGAGATGCGGGCGAGGGGCAGCTGTGTGAGTCCTGCTGTGCTCCCCAGGTGAGCGTTACTCCTGTCGCGGGCCGGTGTGTGCCTCTGGCCTGCCCTCGGCGCCCCCGCCTGGCGTGAGCTTGCAGGTGCGGAGGCGACGCGCGCCGGTGTCGTGCAACAAGGAGGGAGCTGGGGCACACGGCATCTCTGAGCGCAGGCTGCACACAGGAGCCAGCAGCAGTGCCGAGGGATGGGGAAGAACATGCACATGACTGTCAGCAGCCTTACAAACATTGCTGCTGTAGAAAGCCTGTAACAGGAAAGTGGCTTCTAGATTTATCAACAATGAATTATTAGGTCAAGTTAATAAATGAAATATATATAATGGAAAAATGAACCCTTTCACTTAAATTAGAGATGAATAATTTTGTCAAATATTGGTCTAGATGGGTGGAGTACATTCAGTCTTTAAAGCCTGAATTTATCGAGATTCATAACAACTGAAACTTGAGTAACAAATGTACATTCACATGCTTTTCTCTCTTGATAATCATAACATCTGCATCTTCCTTATGTTGAATGCATATAGTTTGGTTACGAGTGAGTAAAATAATTGTAAAATATTCTAAGGGAACAGATAAGAATAGACTACATTCTCAGTATGAAGTGTATTTGCAAATTTGTGTTGCAAATGATGGGTTGTCTAATGTCATTTGTACTTAAAATGGTTTTCTATGAAATCTATTAAATATTTCTAAAGAAATATTACCAAATTAGATTATTTTAGGAATTCTGCACTTCTCCTGCAATGTTCCAGAATGATTCTCTGTGTGTTTCCCTGTGTCTACCACATTGCCATCCTGTCTTAGAAACTACCCACACGCTCTCAGTGTCCCCTGCTTGGTGCAGAATCCAGGGCAGGACAGATAAACCCAGACAGGCTCTGCCTATGGGGATCATCGTGGCGTGACACCAGCGCAGTGCTGGAGAACCCCCAGCTGGCATGCTGGGAGAAGT